TATAACATAGGTATTTTGGGGAAAAAATTTGTGATATCATGTTCCTACAGGAGTTCTAACTTCATCCCTCTTGCACAGCGTTCCACAAAAACTTGAACAACTGTAATTTTGAATTATATGCCTTTAGGTACGTATCAGTATTCTACCATAATTTAATAATGGTAGAGGTTAATTTAATAATGATGGAGCCCAAATTCAGAAGCAAAGTATACAAGTCATGTATCAGAAAACCAATTTAACATGTAAAATGAAAGGCAGATGAGTGTTTAGCATGAAAAGGACGTGATCTCTTAAACTTTTCTATACCTGGCTATAACTTTTCCTGCTATATGATTCTTTCCATTCCCTCAGCGCACAGTGTATGCCAACATACGTGACCTTTCTGTTCTGTATGTTCATAATGCTAAGCTGTATTGTAAATATGAAAACAGGGTGTGTTTGTGTATTAAATATCTTGGGCTTACTAATAGCAGCTGAAAAAGTCTATTTTAAATCATAAAATTTATTTTAAACGTTATTTATGTAACTCCTTGTTAACATTATACTTTTTTTTTTCTTTACAGCATCAAGAATTTAGTTTCCTCCTTAAAGAGAGAGTTTGTCCTCTTGTGATAAAGCTCTTCTCCCCAAATATCAAATTTAGACAGGGTTCCAGCTCATCATCTTCCCCAGCTCCTGTGGAGAAACCATATTTTCCTATCTGCATGCGCCTGCTGAGAGTAGTTTCTGTTTTGATCAAGCAGTTTTACAGTTTGCTGGTAAGAATATAGGTTTCAAGTATAGTTTTTATAATTCTGTCCTCTTAGGTGTGTGTGCATATGTTCTGCATCCTAGAGTGCTAGTTGCTACTAAATATTGATTTGTTAATGATGGTAACTATACACGCTGTGTTTATAGTATTGTTCACATACTGTATTTTTGTGTACTTCTTCAAAGACTGTGGGAGAGATGGTATTCAGATAAACAGGGATTTTAATAAATGAAAATTAAAACACTCATGTTTTTTGATAGTGTCCTTGTTTATCTCAGTGAGGAACTAGTGTTTCACTCCTGCCACCATGTAAGATTGTATGAGGCTGTAAAACATGAGCATTCCAATTCTGCTTACATAATCAGAATATGTTAGCTGGGTATTGCAGCATATGCTGTCTTCTGGCAAGTACTGCTGGCTTCTCAAGAAGTGTAAGTTTAGAACAAGAAAATAAGATATTCCCATAGGGAATGAATGATCAGTTTTCCTCTTTTTGTAATGTATAAGCCTAAAGAAAGAAGAATCAGTGTTGCAGTGTTCAGAATGGTCAATTTACATTTTTATCGCAAGTTTTGCAATGTTAAGTTCTCGTTTAAACTGTATCTCTTTCATCCTACAGTGACTCCTCAAACTACTTTTTTGCATTTAAACTAATAGGTGTTTCCTTAACCTTTTTTAAGGTGTGTCAAACTCATTTGACCCTGTGGCATGGATGAGGGGCATAAGGATAGTCTGTGGCCTAACTAAGCCCCATGCATTGGAGCCAGCATGCAGGGCCAGTCTGGAGTAGGCATCTAATACCGCACATGCCCTTTACCAGCCCTGCTTTGCTGCGTGCGCTGGCTCCAGTCCAGGGCTTGCAGACAGAGCCAGCACAAGTTGTGTTTTGCATGAGGTGCCCACACAGGACTGGACCTGTGTGCGTGCTTCAGGGCCAGTCTGTGGGTCCAATTTGGAGCCAGTGCACAAGGCTGGCCTGGTGGGGTACTGCATGCAGTGCACGTCCCAATCAGGTCTCTAAGCTGTGTGCTGTGCTTGTGCAGGTCCAGCCCCATGCACCGCATCCAGCATGCACTGGCCCCAGTCTGGGGCTTGTGCAACACGCAGGGCCAGAAGAAGGTGTGCACTGCATGTGGCAGCCATGCCAGATGGGTTTAGTACACTGGCTTCAGCGTGCATTTATCATCTGTAGGCATAATCCAGCTTTCAAACTAACATGCTGTGCTGGTCCAACGCAGATGTCACATGCAATATGCACCAGACCGACTCCACAGACTTGGACTGGTGTGTGCTGCAGGTGGTATGCAAGGTCAGTCTGAGACCCACAGATCAGATCCTGGAGCTCCTGGATCCTATCTTTGCCTTAAGGAATTGGTTTTTTTTGTTTGTTCCCCCCCCCCCCCCCCAAAAAAAAAAAA